TATGGTCCGGTGCGTCTTATGGTCCGAAAAATATGGTATATATTTTAAATTCAGCTCTTTAGTGTGTTAGAAAACAGAGATTTCTTTCCTTTGGGGAATAATGCCTAGTTGTAAGTATGCAAAAGTTCATGGCCCGGCAGAGAAATGGAATATAAATTATTTGCATTCAGGATTAAATGATAGATCTGATGGCATAGTATCATCCTTGTTTACTCTCAACCTTGTCATCTCTCTGAAGAAGATATTAATTTATTTCTACTCTTTTAACTCCTCTGATCTGTGCTTCATCTTCTCTTTGGGTCTGCTTTTTAATTCTCTCTAACTCTGCTGCATTCTCTCTGTGAATTTTACACCCACAACTGATTGGATAGTCAGTATACATTTGGGAAGGTTTCCTTTGCTTGACACAGGGATGGCGAGTCCCTTTTGGTCTGTGGCAGTCTTTGGATAATAAACTGCTTTTTAGTCCCATGTGGCAAGGATAACAAGGCCATATGACTTAATCATGTCTACCTAAACATAATTATGGTGATAATAGCTAAACTTTATTAAGTTCTTACTATGCACTAGCCACATTTTCAAGCAAATTGCCTATATTTTCCCATGCAACCTTAATGCCAATTCTATGAATTTGGAACTATTACTATGCTCTCTGGGTTTAAGCAATTTGCACAAGATGACACAAATACTAATAACATTTATTAGTATTTTTAGTAACACTAATTATAAATAAAAAAATAAAACTTATTCTATTTTTTATTTGTAGACAAGAACATTGAATGCAGTATTACTGAGTTCTCTCCTGGGCTAACCAGTACACAAAACCAATTAAGTCACTGAAAACTATTAAGTTAATTTATATGTGCATTATTGTTAGTACTACAGTACTCTATTGCTTATATTTACTTTCCTAAATTATGTAATATCCATGTCCACACAGCTGCAAATATTCAGATCTTCTAACAGAGAAAAACAATAACAATATTTAGAGACAGAATGGCTGTCCATTGCTTCATTTTCTTGGTATCTCTACTCTTTTGTTTAGGCAGCAGCACCACTTCTTAGATAGAATAATCATCTACTAATCCTGTGTGCTTCTTGTTACACTGGAGCCAGGTAGCCACAGTAATGGACTTGTGATCCAGTCCTGGACAACTGTATGAATCACAGACACAGATACCTGCCTAAGGTTGAGCCAGAAGCCCAACTTGAACACTTAGAACTTTTCCTTTGATGTAATACAGTGTATATGGAGACAAGGAGGAATAACTTTTTCTTTCTTTTGGAGCAAGTAGGTTGAAATGTTGCAATCTAGAGCTCTCTCTAAGCACAAACCCACAGTGCAGTTTTAGTCGGAAAGAAGAATGAAGAGAGAGAGAGAGAAGAAAGAGAGAGGAAAGAGAGAGAGAGAGGAAATTATAGTGGTAACCTTGGGCTTTTTCTTTTGTCTAGCATGCTTGATGTTGGTTTCTTTCAAATGCAGGGAGAATTGCAAGAATACAGAACTGAGGGCATGGCAACACAAGAGCAAATGCAGAGAGTAAATTCAAATGCCACAATTGTTTACTTCCAATGTTGGTAATGGCACTGTCAAGAATTAGTCAAATATGTCATTAGTAGTTGGCAAAGATTCCCATCAGGGCCAGGAAAGAGATAATGAAAAGAAACGCACAACAGAATTAGACGTGATATTTAGTAAATTTTCCAGGATAAACATAGATTATTTTGGAAATAGTAAGTATGAAAATTAGGTGACTCTATTTACATAACTCATTTCTTTTTAAAATTACTTTTAGAGAAACAGAAACTCAATTTACTTCTTCACATTGCAGTGCAGTTTGATAAATTTAAGTTATCTGTATTTTTAGTTTATTCTTTTTTATAAACTTCTGTTTATTTATTGACTTTTAATTGAAGTGTGCCACCAAGACATAGGTAGAAACTCCAACCACACTATTACACAGGCTAAGGTTATTACTTTTTGGTGTTTTAGTAAACCTCCATAGAGAGGGAAAATTTCTGGGTAGTGAGAGAATGAGATAATGCATTGGAAATCAAGAAAATGAGTCTTATTCTGGTCTACCAACTCACCCTGTAAGGTATTTTATGTTTTGCAATTTCGTTGTTTTTAATAATGCAATACATAATGCAAACTTACAGAGTGAAGAATCATTTGTTCATTCATTCATTCTTTCATCTAGACATTGTTTGATTCAGTGAACAACAAATTCCTAAACAGAACTCTAAAAACACACACACACTATTTTAAAGAAAGCATAAATAATGTACACTAATCAGTTAACTAATGCACGGAATACCAGGAAAACCCACATGCACCTTTCTTAGTACCCCACTCAGGGATTTGAGAAGCATGAATACAAATAACGTAAAGTGTAATATCCCTTTCTGGCCTCAGTGAAGCAATTCAAGTATTCTTTATCCCCACAAGCTATCATTTTACCACAAGGAACAATTTTATCTAATTAGTGTTCATTTACAATCTCAAAGTCAATAACTACCCATGGAACTGTGATTAAAGGAATCCCTAGATTCATTTCCTGAGAACATGATCGATGAATACAACGATGGGAATTTGAGAATTCCTCTTTCTTGTAAATGAAACTTTTATCATATGTACTCATCTATCAAAGCTTGTATCCTTAAACCCTAGGCAGATTAAAAGTTTATTGTCTAACATTGATTGGGTCTGCTTTGAAAATTTAATCTCAATCATCTCCTAATTTGATTTTAGAAATACTTAGTTTTGTAACTTTTTTTTTTTTTAAGAAATCAGGCTTTGGTATGCTAAGTTCCCAGTAGTACTTTTCAGAGATATCAATGACTGCTATAGAATAGAATAGAATGCATTAGGCCTTGTCCTTTAAATGAAAATAAACAGTACCTTTTTTGTTTTTTATTGTTAACTCTTAGTATGAAGGAAGAGGATTTTGTTCCAAAATCTTACTTACAAATTCTGTCTGAATCTGAAACTAGTCAATTCCAACTGGTTATCTTGACCCCAAACTTGCTGTAGCCCATGGTGTTTTATTTCATAAATATTCTGCTCACTAATTTTAGAAGATCTGGAGATAAATCATTGATTACCAAAGTCAGTAGCTTTATGGTTCAAATGAAACATTGAAAACAATTATGCAGATATCATTTACACAGGCTTTCCATCAAAGGAACCATTCTCTAATGGTGTTTGCTTTGAAATGTGTTTCACATTTCCTCCCTTGCCCAAGGGTTTACCATAAATCCATTTTTACTCATGAAAATGTAGGCTACCACACTGCTTTCTTGGCATTAATACCAATCAATACTGCCAATTCTTGATTGCCTATGTTAATGAAGTGTCATATTAATGCAGATAATTTCAAAACAGTGGCAAAATATTACATATATTGCTTTGGAAGTCTGTTCCCCAAGTGTTTCTCTATGGAAAATTATAAAATAGTCTATGTAATTTATAAAATAGTGTATATAAGTTATAAAAACTTTCTATTTTTGAAACATGTGGCACAAAAGAAAGAGGAAGTGATTTGGAGAGCTGACCTTCTGGACCTTTTTGAAATGTCCGTTGTCATTGCTGAGATCTAGGAATAAAGCCAAAGTCTAAGCATGAATGGTCCTCCCATGTAACCCATATTTTATTACATAGCAAAATGACACACACAATTCCATGCTTAAAAAGTACTGTTTTTATTTTAGTGAAAGTTGACATTCTCAACAGGTCTACAATTAGAAAGGAAAACATAAATGATGTTTGAGTGCCGCTAATTGTGTGTTTATCATGCTTATAAAATAGAATGCTCTTTTCACCCAATGGTTGCCTGCACATAAATAATTGGAATATACCCTTGAGATAAAACTGGGCTCCTAGTGTGCTGTCACAACCATATTTTTGAGACTATCTGACCTGAGATTTGATGCAATTGTCCAGTTAATTCAGCCCTGAGAGTAGCCACTCAGCTGGTTATCCTTTATGAGTTGGCATATCTCCATTCCATACCTGTTGGAACTATTCAAAATATATATTTAATCATGCTATTAAGCATTTGATTTTACTAGTATCCTGAGACAAGATGTAAAATATCAAAGTATTTAAAAATTATTTTTTCTTAAAATAATACTGTGTATAAAAAATCCGCAATTACTTAGCTGCCGACCCAATATTTGGTATTTCTTTGCACTTGATTAATCTACAAGTAACTCATAGTCATAAAGTTTGAAGATTTAAGTGATTAAAAATTATACTATAAGGGATCCAAGATGGCTTTGGATGGGACTGCAGGCTACTAGATAGTGTGAGAGTGAGAGAATGAAAGGAGAGTGAGAGGACCTTCAGGGAGTGTCAGGATTTGTGAGTGAGGGACAGTTACATTCCAAGGGACTGTTGGGGATTGGCGGACCAGGCCTACCCCCACACACTGGTCAGCCTCCACTCCAGCTAAAATCTCTCCCACAGAGGTCGCACCCTCTTGAAGGGGAAACGGCGGATGATCGGAGACTGACTGTGATCCGAATCCCAGCCTTATCTTTAACTGAGGAGATCTCAGATATCCCCTGGAACCTTACAACCACAATGCCCAGGGACCAGTTACCTCAGCTGCGAATCCACCTACAGGGGAACTCCAACCTCCCTGACCATGGACGCCTGGGGGTCTGCTCAGGGGGAGACAAATGGCATGAATTTCCTGGACAGGGCCCTGCCCCTTCTCACAGAGCAAAAAGAATAGCTGAATCAAAGAGCACCCATCAGGAACTGGCAAATTAAACACAGCAGGCATTGCCTAGAGAAAGGTGAGATTTGGGATCCAGGCTGGAGGGAGAAATCCACTCAGTGGGAACTAGAGCCTCAGAGAAACACTGCCCCCCATAAAGTTTGCAGCCTTTGGGGTCAGGATAGCCCTTGAATGTGGAAGGGGTTCACAGGGCTGCTGGCAGAAGCATGCCCAGGCCTTACCTTTTATTCAGTTTTGGATACACCTAGAGCCCTTCGTTAGGCAGGCAATTCTGATAACAGACGGACTATCTTAAAGGTCAGTAAATATTAGTAAAGATTTACTCAGAGTACTTGGTTAGGAAATTGCTTGAGCTACCATTGTCTTGACTAAACAATTGGTGCATAGCTCTGGCCCTTGCCAGGGCTCAAGGTTCACCAGCTTTCTGGGCTCCTTGTTTACACTTCTCTGATAGTGAAGACAATGGGTGGCTTCCCACATCAAGACTTAACTTGTAGTTACAGTGTCACCCCAATAAATTCAATAGAAAGGAAAAGAAAAAGTAGTTTACAATTCTTCACATAAACCACTGACCTAGCACTCTCATGAGGAACCCAAAAAGAATAAGAATGAAGTGATAGTAGGAACTCTAAGTGTTAGATGATCATCAAAGGAAAGCTAGAGATTTGGGCTAATTTAAATTTTTCAGAAAAACATTTAGTATCTGGGAAAATACAAATCCCTAAAAAATAGCTCACTGTATTAAAAACATGAAATGCCTGATATCCATGAAAGTAAAATTATGAGCAGTTGAAATTTTTCTATAACAAAAATACTAGTTCGACTGCTTCACAGCCAAATTCAATAAAATATTTGTGAATATCTTTGACACAAAATCATAATCAATAAAAATAAAGGGAATATGCTTAAACAAAAAATATAGTATTTATAATAAATATACATGTGTCACACAATGTTGAAATGATAAAGCATTTTCTCTACCATACTCAAAACAATTTCAAAGATGTCCATAATGCAACCTTTGACATTGTCACTAGAAGAGAAATAAAATTTTGGAAAGGAATAACAAAAATACTGCTATTTTCAAACAATAGAAATATCCATGCAGTAATTCCAAAACAATTCAAGACACATCATAAGTTTAATTTTTCTACATCCTATTGCATTTTCTTACAAAGAATTCATGAAAAATGTTGTCTAGAAATGTTGGTAGTGGCTATCACTGTCTCATTGTTGGTCTCATAGGGAAAACTCTCAGAATTCTAACTTGAAGCACAATGTTTGCTTTAGTATTTATTTAACATATCTTTTATCAGATAATATATTCCCATTTTTTGTATGATGGTTTCATTTTTAATGGATTGCTATTGAATTTTATAAAATAATATTTCTGAAAATTGTGTTTCTTATAAGATGTTCGTCTTCATACTGTTAATATTATGAACCAAAATTTGTTTTATTTTTTTATTTGTTTGTTTGTTTGTTTTTAGTAAAAATAAGAAGTTTAGTTTTACTGGATGGGGAAGTAAATTCTGTTTTATTTTTAAACTGCTTTTCATCACATAGTAAACTTGAATATGTGATCCTTTAGAGCAGTGGTTCTCAACCTTTCTAATGCCATGACCCATTAATACAGTTCTTCATGTCGTGGTGACCCCCAACCATAAAATTATTTTCGTTGCTACTTCCTAGCTGCAATTTTGCTACTGTTTATGAATCATAATGTAAATCTCTGTGTTTTCCGATGGTCTTAGGCGACCCTGCTAGTGGTTCTCAACCTGTGGGTTATGAGTCTAAGACTCTTTTTTATTTTTATTTCATTTTTAAATTTTTTATTGTTGAAAGTATTACATATGCCCCCTTTCTTCCCGCACTGACTCCTTCTAGCCCACTCCTGTCCACCACCACAGGCCTTCACCACACCTATTGTGTGTGTCCATGGGTTATGCATACCAGTTCTTTAGTTGATCTCTTGCCATCCACCCTCACTCCCCTGCCTTCCCTCCGAGATTCTGACATCTGTCTCAAGCTGCTATGTTTCTGTATCTATTTTGTTCATCAGTTTACTTTGTTCATTAGATTCCATATATGAGTGAGATCATGTGATACTTGTCTTCCTCTCACTGGCTTATTTCACTTAGCATAGGTATTCTGGAGAAAAAGGAATGTGCACATGTCACTGGAAACATGCAAAGAAAAGTTAATTAAAGTATTCTCCATAATTGCCAAAATGGTAGGAAATAACGCATCATCAATCAAAAGTTCAATGGAAGAACATATTTTTCCCCCCAATAAATCAGTGGAATGTATGTAGAAATGGAGAAATTTCCAAATCATTAAGCAAAACAAGAAAATCACTACATATACTATGATTTTATTTTTATAGTTTCATGCAATCATTTATAGCATTTTATAGTATTATGCAATCAATTGAACTAGGTATTTCATTATGTCTTTTAACTATTTGTACACATTTACAGATTTTTCTAAATTAATGCTGTGATATAATAAAATACTTTAAAATAATAAATGTATGAAAATATAGTTGACTAAATTATAGTGAAATTTTCTTTATATTAGAAAAAAAAAGATTGTAGAAAACTAACATTTTAAAAATAGATTTATCGCCTATAAAATAATCTACTCATGCATGTTCTTTGATATTTTATTACAGATGTTCATTGTGTGCTATTCATTTTTAACTTGCTTTTGTTGATCTTATTCACCAATTTTAAGCTCATGATGGAGAAGATCCTGTCCACTTGGTTCAAGAAAGTGTGTCATGCCTGTGGAATATTGCCTGTTTAACAGTATTTGCTCAATATATATTTGTAAACTAGTGAATGTGCTAATGCATAAAAATGGTGAAATATATATGGAGAAGATACATTATCATCAATTAGATCTCTTCATATTGAGTCTTACATCTCATAATTTAGAGATACTTAATTTCTCTCTAAACAAGGATACATAATATGAATAACTTACACTGCATCCTTTAGCCAGAAAATGAACAACAATAATAATATTGAAAATATTACAGGAATAAACAGGAAAGTATAAGCTTATTTATTTCGCTGACTTTTTGCGACTGCATTTCAGAGTTCTCTTTGAATTATAGCCCAATTTAAAGGAGGCATTAGCTTTCTGCAATGTCTGCAAAAATGTCTTTCTGCCATAAAACATTAAAACATCCCACTTTCTCCTGGGGGGAATATTATTTCTCAATTTGTTATTGCAATAACGGAGACCATAGCTGTGAGTGATAATCTCAGAAGAGGGAATAAAATTACCGATACTTTTTTGTAATGATAAATGCCTTGCCAGTAGACTGATTTTATCCCTTTCCACAGAGGCATCAACTCATTTATCTGCTTAACTTTTTTTGTTTGTTTGTTAATCCTCACCCCAGGATATTTTTTCCCATTGATTTTTAGAGAGAGTGGAAAGGAGGTAGGAAGGGGAAGGAGAGAGAGAAACATCGATGTAAGAGAGAGAGACATCCATTGGTTGCTTCCCACACGCACCCTGATCAGACCGAGGGATCGAACCTGCAACCCAGGTATGTACCCAATTATCATCAATTGTGTATTGAACCCCCAATCCTTCCACTCTAACCACTGAACCAAAACTGGCCAGGGCTCACTGCTTAACTTTGTCAGAAATATTCAGATGGTATCTGAGCATATACTATAATTCCAGTTTAGGACTTCAATGAAAAACTCAGACCTCTATCTTGTTCTGCTAATGATTACACAGTAACAATCTAATTTCAAAAAGTTATCTCAGAATGCCTCCTTCAGTTTTGCAATAGGGTTCCTTCATTCTCTCTCATTAGTTCTGAAAAGGAGAAACAATTGTCTGGCAAACTTTCCATCCTCCCTTTCCTCATTAAAGCAATTCATGAATTTGCAACGATGGCTTTGAACTTCTAAAAGTGTTAAAACTACTTGCAGCAGCCATATTAGCATCAATGTTGGTAAGAATTAAGTCAGACATATATACACTTATCAGCATTATGCTAATTATGCACTTCCTGAATATACTAAAGAGATGGTGTTCTGTGAGGGCTTATACATATATCACAAGGTGGTGTCCACAAATTGTACCCCATCCTCAGGAATGGCTCCTTAATTAAATTATGCAACGCAGAGTGAGAGGTCACCAGAGTTAGCACTGTTACCTGCCCTGTGGCATCCCAGTTGACTTTAGACCAAGAAACAGATAATGGGTCTCTCATGAACTAGGAGCGGATACATCCTCTTCCCACTACTGGTCCTCTTGCTTGAGTTGACACAACATTGAAGTTTTCAAGCATTGTTTTAGGAGACACCGAGGGGAACGTCAGTATGTTTCTAAGCAAAGTAGGTCTGATTGTTTCAAAGGAAAACTTTAAATAAGGCTGAGAGAGCTATAAAAAGCTCTTTAAGACTCCGGGCTGTTTGAGAATCCAAGAAAAGAATGAAGGGGATTCAGTGACAACTCAGCATTTTGTAGGATTTTTAATTCTTGGCCCACCTAAGTAAATGCTACTCCCAGTACTCTGCAGGAATCTAACAACAAAAATGCCAAAGGCTAATAAGAGGGCTAAAGCAAATTTCACTCTGAGAGCTTCTGTGGCACCAACATGGAGCCTCGTGTAAAAGTAGGTAATGGGATAGAGTAGAGGTCATACGTGGCTGGTTAGAGCAGAGATTTTGCACAGATGCAGAAGGGTATTATCACTAAGTTTGAGCATTAATGGTTATATGATCTCTTTGTACCCATAGGTTACTTTAGCCTAAAGAAATTTGTGTTGCACTTATTATTTATGACCATATTCATATCCAAAAATATATAAGTTCAGGCTATAAAATATTAATTATATTTACTTTTTATGGAAGTTTAAAATATACTGTTTTCTTTGTAAGTAATGCAAATTTATCATGCAACTTAAATATTGGATATTAGGAGAATTTAGGCAAATTTTACTACACTCAAACATTTTATTTTATTTTTACAAATTTTGAAAATTCTAGAATATGTCAAGCACACAAGAAACAGGACAGAATATATTATAACAACATGTATGCACTCACTGACACAATTTTGCAAATGTTTATTGAAATATTTACTTATATCTATTTTTAAATAATGAAAAAATAGAAATTCAGTTAAAACATATACAACCTTTTCTTTCCATCCTTTCTCCCCAGAGGTAATTAATATCTTAAAGTTAGTCCACTGCTTCATGGTCTGTCTTTTTATACTCTCCACATTACTTTGCTTGAACACATGATAAACAGTGTTGCCACATGTGTTCAAACTCTTCCTAGAGGATGCATACATTTACCTTCCTGATTTTTGTCTGAAGAAATTTTCTGTCTGAGGAAGTGTTCCACACCGGCTTTTTAACTTTTTTTTTTTTTTTTTTTTTTAATCTGAGGGTATTTTCGGTCTATGAAAAAGAACTCGGGTCATCCGTAGCAGGTCAGAAGTGCTGATGAGTTTATAGCCCTGGAGTTTGCTGGAAATATGAAGCTAACAATCCAACCGTGATCTCATAGTCATTATTGCTCAGAAGAAGAATAAATAGTAAAGTGATTTTAAAATACTAAAAGCATAAGGTGCAGAAGGACCTAAAACATAGCAAAATTCACAAAAGTGGTTTGTGTGGGCAGTCAGGAGCCCAGGAGGGAGAGTGAGGTATGGAGTGGAAACCTGCCCTCAGGATCAAGGTCTAAATGACACTCATTTCCATCTTTCTGCTGTCTCCCATTTGCTCTTTCTTTTTTAAATAAATCTTTATTGTTCAGATTATTGCAGATCTTCCTTTCCCCCCACCCGAAAGCTCCCCTCCACCAAGCATGTGTTGGTTCTGTTATATCCACATCTGGAGGGTGTCTGGGGAAAATGAGCAGGAGGTGGCTATATCAGTAACCCAGCCTTTGACACATCTTGTATCAGTTTCTTCCTTCTACATTTCCCACTCTTCCTCCAGTGCTTATGTTACAAATAAATGTGCTGATATCACTTAACCTAACACCTGTATAGAATTTCTGCCTTTGGGATAACTCAGACTAAGGCAAGTGGTCTATAATGCACTCTTTTCACTAATTCTCTTTTTATGTCCAGCCATTTGTTTTCATGACCCTGGCACATACACGGCCACGCTGAGTCCTTTGACATTCCAGACAGTCATGCTAATCTACATCTCCATGCTTTGGCCTGGTTTGCACAGGACATGCACATGCCCTGCCTGCTCTGCTGTTGATCCCCCTTCCCTGGAATGCCCTTGCCACATGCCTCTGAGGTCCTGCTTCTCCTTCAAGATTCCACTTGACCTTATTCTGAAAGCTGGATTTTTGGCCCCAATTTTTTTTTTATAATGCTTTCCCAATAGTGGGACTTACAACAGTGTTTTGCTAGATGTGCTATCAAGCCATTACACCCCTGTGCTTGTCCTTAGCTACGGATTCCTTGATTGCATGAGCTGTGTCTTCATGCTGCTAATTCTGTACAGTTATTGTAAATGTCGTGTCAATATCTGGGTAATAGACCATTAAAAATCTAATTAGAGTGAATACCTATCCTAAACATATTTTTATAATTTTGTGGGCTAGATTTAACTTATTCAATAGATAAGAAGTTTTAACTACGGTTTTTAAATTGCAATGTGGTAGACCGAAAATTATCCACAATTGTTTATCTTTCCCCGATAGCCACACCCTTGCTTTGGCTTCTTCAGGTAGAGAGCGGTCTCTCCCTCTCCTAGACTGTGGACTTAGCTATGAGATCTTTTTTGGACCAAGGTATGTACATGAAAATGAGCCAGGTATGAATCAAGGCTATAAAGGGACTCCGGGATGCTGTTTTATGTGTTTTTTCTCTCTGTGTGTGTGTGTGTGTGTGTGTGTGTGTGTGTGTCTGGCATCACCATAGAAACAACTTCCCTTCCTGGAGAAGGGAAACCTGGCTGCGAGCAGGTTGTCAGAATTCAACTCCAGTAGAAAATCTAATAGTCAATTTTATCATGTAAAAATGTTCATCTAAAAACTTGGCAGGATAAAATAATAAATCCATTTTTATTACCACTTTTCCTAATTTTATTATTTTTGCCAATTCACTTGATTGAATAAATTATCTGTAGGTTCAAATCAGTACCAGCCAGTTCATGTTTTCACATATGCCTCTAAAAAGACGAATGATCATCTTTCATGACTCCTTCAACAAAGGAGTTAAAATCAACAAAAATAGGGATATTAAAAAAAAGTTCAAGATATTAGAGAAGTAGCAATTATTTTCCATTGACTTGCTGTTATAGGTTTATCACATAACCAGCTGCATTCCATTCACATAATTCAGACATGCCTATGGCACTGGAAAACTAATTATACCCTTTTTTTATACTTAATAAATCCCATAAATCATAATGTTTAATTTTGTAGCACAATATTTTTACCTTGTACATGATTGAGAGAAATGTAGCTTTCCTGGTAAGAAAGGAACATAACAGAACAATTATGAGTAAATTAAAAGTCACTGGTCTATAAATTCACATTGCCATTAGATCATTTTATTGTTTTGATTACTTGAGGTTCATGTTTAAAGCCTTCCCTCTTTCTCTCTAGGTACATTTTTTTTTTTCAATTAAACTTATAATGCAACCACAATTCAAAAGTGGAACCATAGCAACACAGCACAGTTATACCCACTTCAAACCAAATAATTCTGTTCAAGTTGGTTTCTTTGTCTCCTTCCTGCATTTTAACATGAGGCAACCAAAGGCTTTTCAAACATATTTGTGGGAGAATGTAGCCAACCATGTAAAATTCCATGTGGAGGAGGCTGAATGTATGATTTGCTTCTATGTGGGTTTCATTTAGGTCTAAAAGGTAGAATCAAAATGAGTTATGAAGGGGTTTCAGAATATTTTTATTGGGAATCTGGAAATATTTGTATTCTGTTACATCTTCTTTTCAATTTTTTAATGTAAATTCTTTATTTTTTTTAAAGAATGTCATTCCATATCTCTTTACATGTCTCCTTTCCCCCTTCATTGACCTTTCCCTGGCCACGTCTACCCCAGCACATGCCTTTATCCCCCTAGTGTCTGTGTCCGTTGGTTATGCTTATATGAATGCATACAAGTCCTTTGGTTGATTTCTTACCTCCCCCAACTCCTGCCCCATTCCCTGCCTTTCCTCTGAAGTCTGAGGCTCTGCTCCATGCTTCTCTGTCTCTGTATCTACTTTTGTTCATCAGTGTATGTTGTTCATTATATTCCACAAATGAGTGAGATCATGTGATATTTATTTTTCTCCAACTGGCTTATTTTGCTTAGCATATGCTCTACAGGTCCATCCATGCTGATGCAAATGGTAAGAATTCTTTTTTTTTTTTTTTTTTTTTACAGTAGCGTAGTATTCCATTGTGTAAATGTACCATTGTTTTTTTTTAATCCTCATCTGCTGATGGGCACTTAGGCTGGTTCCAAATCTTACTATTGTAAACTAGAGGCCCGGTGCACAAAATTCGTGCACTTGCGGGGGGGAGCATACCTCAGCCCAGCCTGTGCCTTTTGCAGTCCAGAGCTCTCAGGCGATATCCAACTGACAGCTTAGGCCCATTTCCCGACACCACCACTGTGCTCACCAGCCATGAGCCCAGCTTCTGGCTGAGCAGTGCTTCCCTTGTGAGAGTGCACTGACCACCAGGGGGCAGCTCTTGTATTGAGTGTCTGCCCCCTGGTGGTCAGTGCGCATCATGGTGACTGGTTGTTCCACTGTTTGTCCATTTGCATGTTAGCCTTTTATTATGTATGATTGTGCTGCTATGAACATAGGGGTTCACCTTTCTGACTAGTGTTTAGGATTTCTTGGGATATATTCCTAGAAGTGGAATTACTGGATCAAATGGCAGTTCCAGTTTTAATTTTTTGAGGAAAAACCATACTGTTTTCCACAGTGACTACACCATCAGCAGTGCATGAGGGTTTTTGAGGAAACACCACACTGTTTTTCACAGTCTGCATTCCCACCAACAATGCATGAGGGTTCCTCCCCACCCCCCCCACCCCCAAATCCTTGTCAACACTTGTCGTTTGTTGATTTGTTGATGATAGCCATTCTGACAGGTGTGAGGTGGTACCTCATTGTTGTTTTGATTTGCATCTCTTGGATGATTAGTAACTTGGAGCATGTCTTCATATGTCTCTGGGCCTTCTGTATGTCCTCTTTTGAAAAAATGTCTATTTAGGTCCTTGGCTCACTTTTTGATTAGATTGTTTATCTTCCTTTTGTTAAATTGTATGAGTTCTCTATAAATTTTGGAGATTAGACCCTTATCAGAGATAATATTGGCAAATATGTTCTCCCATGCAGTGTGCCCTCTTGTTGTTTTGTTGAGAGTTTCTTTTGCTGTGCAGAAGCTTTTTATTTTGATGTATTATTGTGCATAAGTATATTTGTAACTATACTTAAAGAAAAATATTTTATTGCTGAATGATACACTATTTAGGGCCATAGTTTCTCAGGGTTGAAGAATATATAAAAGCTTATGTCATAAGACATTCTTTCAGGCGTCTGTGTTCATGGTCAGCAGGTTTCACGGCCTGAAGATCCAATCTAGAATGCCATCTTTTTAGTGGAGTCTTACAGGAACGCAGCCAGACCTGTTTGCTTGCATACCGTCTCTGGCTGCTTTCACACTACAATGGCAGAGGTGAAGAGTTGCAATGGATCCTGGGTATCCTGCAAAGTCTGAAATATTTAATTATCTGCCTATTCATAAAGCATGTTCACTGAATCCTGTGCTATTCAATAATGTGTAATATTAATGCTTACTGTGTAGTGAAATTGTACACAGTGTAATGCATACAATGACAATATGGGAGTTTTAGAGATTTGGAGTGGTGGCCTAAAATCATATAATTATCTAAAGACAATTTTAGTATTTGACTGATATTGTATGGTTCTGAATTCAGTAATGTTGCTTTATTATAAGAATGTGAGACCTACCTTTGTAAGCTCGGCAAAGTGCACATCATTTAAAAATAGCCCAGTTGGGCAGAAACCGGTTTGGCTCAGTGGATAGAGCGTCGGCCTGCGGAGCGAAAGGTCCCAGCTTTGATTCCAGTCAAGGGCCTGTACCTAGGTTGCGGGCATATCCTCAGTAGGGGGTGTGTAAGAGGCAGCTGATCGATGACTCTCTCTCATCGATGTTTCTAACTCTCTATCCCTCTCTCTTCCTCTCTGTGAAAAATCAATAAAATATATAAATAAATAAATAAATACATAACCCAGCCGGCATGGCTCAGTGGTTGAGCATCAACCCATGAACCAGGAGGTCATGATTTGATTCCTGCTCAGGGCACATGCCAGGGTTGCGAGCTCGATCCCCAGTGTGGGGCATGCAGGAGGCAAATCAATGATTCCCTGTCATCGTTGATTTTTCTAGCTCTCTCTCCCTCTCCCTTCTTCTCTAAAATCAATAAAAATATATTTTAAGAAATAAAAATAAAAAATAAATAAAAATAGGGAACTTGTCCCTTCAAACTAATGTTTCAAATTTTTCTCCCATTCCTTGACTTGAAATTATTGAAAACTACTAATGCAATGTCAACCACACAGAATTCACCTGAGCATGTAATGACATCACAGATATATTTAAACAGATAAAGAGGATCTGTCAGACTGTCACTGCTTGTTCTTATTCCAACAAGAGAAGCTTTAAGCCTTCTCAGTTGACAGTCTTACAGACTCAGATACTGGTTTATAATTTGCTGTGATAATTAACCTTTGTGTTTTGTTTTTTTCTTCTGTTTATATAGGTATACTCCTTATTAAGTAACTGCTTGTTTATTTACACCATGTAGTCTCACTTTGAATGCCCATCTGCATCACCATTTTCTAAAGTGATATTCAACAATTTAATTGAACTGGCTTATTTTCAGGACTAAATAATTAAGTCAATAAAATATGGAGCAATTTACCAAGTTCCCTTCTGGAAGGACACAACAATTCTACATGAACATGGTGATAATTTGGTGATTCCAGCCTATCACTACCTTAAAAGGATCAGCTAACAGCTTCTCTGTTTCAGTCTTATCCCTTTCTGGTAACTTCCATACCCTATGTAGGCAGGGACCACAGCCCCTGTCAGCAGGAAGCAGTTACTGAAGACAGACTGTCCCCCCTCACCAACTCTAAAAGATTTTAGGGTTGGAAGTCTCTGAACAGGGAATGGGACAGACCAGTAACCCAAGACAAGTTGAATAAAGAAACAGACAGATAAGCAGCAATTTGCAGCCATAATTGTTTGTGTTTCTCCTCAGTCAGAGGGTAAATTATTTAAATCACCCTACTCAGGGAGGGAGATAGCAGAAATCCAATTAGTGCTATTTCCCAACTATACCCAAGGACAGTTGAAGTTTAAGAGAATTAATCTCATTTTGGTACATCAGCATAAAGCTGATGAATATCCTATTGACATCCTCCCCTAACAATTCCCCTAAATGCCCAGCCTTTAAAACCCCTAAAAAAACAAAGGTCACAGTGTCTGCTGTGCTGGCCTTCCCAGGAGCAGGCCCTGCCCTCCTATTTCTTCCCTGAGACATGCATCTCCTAAGGGTCCTATGAGGAGTGCAAGGAGGGCAATGGGCAGTGGCAGTTCATCCTGGGCAAACCCCCTGAAGCTGTCCCCAAGGCCTCCTTTTCCCCCACTTCTTAGTGAGCCAGAGCACCCAGCCTGGGCCCATTTCCCAACCCTTGCATGGCTTACTGTCCCCAGCTTTAATAAACATCCTCTAAAAATAAAAATAAAAATAAAAATAGGGCACTTGTATAAAAAGGTCATTAGCTGCTTTATAAAATGGATATTTCCACTTGTATATAGATTATTGTCATATTTTATTAAGTATATTTCAGGGATTGGATCATTTTGGCTTTGCAATAATCTTTATCATGATAATTGTTATCATGTTCTTATTTGAAAACAGTGGCTAAAAGGAACTCTCAGAGGCAAGGGAGGAGGGGGAACTGGAAGAGATTAACCAAAGAACTTATATGCATAACCCATGGACACAGAACACAGTGCTGTGTAGGCTTGAGGGAGTGGGTGGAGGAGGGAGGTCCTTGGGGGGAAAAAGGGAGACGTGTAATTTTTCAAAAATAAATATAAGTTTAAAAATATTTAGGGAAATGGTAAATACTTCACTGAGGAGACAGTTTTTTTCAAATTAATCTTAAAGACCAAATAGGAATTTCCAAATAGGAGATAAAGGGATGAAGGGTGAAAGTCAGAGAAATGGATTTTATGCTCAGGAAACAAGCATCTCAGCCCTCATATAGAGGGTGGCCAATGTTGGAAATTAAAGGCTGACAACAAGGGCGAATTGCTTTGGATGAGGAAAGGTGTGGATGTCACACTGTGGACCGAGCTCACAATGATAGGCATGCTCTCAGTGGCTGTGTACGGTCTTGGAATATATCATGGGATGTGAGAAGAAGTCAGGGATATTTTTTGTGTAGAATATTAACATGATTTATCTTAAATCTGTTACTAGAAAAAAAAAAAATAGCTCTGTTAGCTATGTACCAAACAGCTTGGAATACCAACTACAGTAGATAGAAAGAGGACACACTTGAGGTTGCTGAAAATACACAAGCTAGAGAGGATGAAACACTGAGTCTGAAGAGATGTCTACAGAGCTTGCTGTTTATGAACTTTGCTGAGTAGACAAAGCAGACAAAAATTTCCCAGACTTCTTTTCTGGCTGGAAGGCTCACTGGTCCACCCACATGCTCACTTCCTATTCTTTAACTCTCTTCTGGGAGAAAACCCCACACCTCTGACCCTCAGTCCGTAGTAGGGACTCCCAGTCATGTCCATCCTCCAAGCTCTTCTGCAGCTAGTCCCACAGCACATGGCTTCCATAGGAAAGGTCTCTGTTCATCTTCGTATAGTACTAGGCTGTGAGCATCTTGGGGAATGTGCCTGGAACTTGTACTGCAGCATCTCTTTTTAACAAAGCATTGTAATGACAGTAGACCTTCCCTGAATCAATGCAGAAAAGGACTGACAAAGTACTTGTAGTAAATATGAGCTACCACATAGTTAATGCAACTGAAATTATTATGTCCTCTTCAATCTTTCCAGCTTTGTTTGGCTGCCTTTGTACTATTTTGCCTCAATAATTTAAGAGTATGCTTATTTAATGATTAAGTATACAAAATGAATTGTTAAATTTTATTTAATAAAACACATATTGTGTGTTAAGTGCTACATCCTCAAAAAGCTGAGGTAGATACAGTCATGAAATTTTAATTAAATTTTCTCTCATAAAAGCTATCTAAAA